ACTGGTTTTATTGCCATTTGTTTTCAGCCAGGTACCCTTATTGAATGGGGAAATAATTGGTAAGTGCCTTTGATTTTGCCTTATATCTACAGTCGAACCTCTCCACAACAAAACCCTTGGGGACAGAAAAATAGCTGTTGTAGAGAGGTGGCAGTTATGGGGAGGTACATGTATTGGTGTGATATGACTCCTGTTTTTTGTTCTTTTTTCCCAGGGATGAAACATTTTATTTTTTTTTTAAATGCTAATTGTACATAGCATATAGATATGAAACACAATCAAAATATATCTATATAAAAACTGAAACCAAACAGAAACAGCAATGCCTGGTATGGATCAAGTTTTGTAACTTATTGCAATAAAAAAATGTGTTTTGTATACACCATTCATCAGCCATCGAGTAACTGGACATTGTAGAGAGGTTATTTTGGCAGCCTAGATGCCATTTAGTGACTGGTGCCGTTGAAGAGTTTAAAATACATGTAAGGGTGCGTGATGGAGAATTCATCAGGACGAAAAAGTGGTCATTGTTGAGAGGAGGCTGTTTGTGGAGGCTCAACTGTATTCTAAACCTTGTTCCAACCCAGATACTCTTTCTTTATTGGTTATGGTTATTGTATAAATATTTCCATTTCTGTTCAAACCAGTTGTGATTTAAGTCTTGCCTGTTTCAGTTATGTTCATACATGTAGCAACATGTGACTCGTGGTAATCCATATTGTACTTGACAGGGGCCAGGCAATTCAAATTCGTCAAGAAGAGGATGATGCTGTGGCAGGACTGTTTTCTCAGATAGGTGAACTGTATGTTGTTCACCACATATGGGGTAAGTATTAACATGTTTTTCCATGCTTTTGTAGATAAATTAATTTCAGATGAAAGTGATTGTCTAGGTTTGGTCTATTGTATAGCATCGCAGGCATGCAATGCGTGCAGATCAGTTCTATTACTAATAATATTTTGCGTAACTTTGGAGAGGTTGCTCTTTTGGGTAGCTACGACAGTAACATATCCCAAATAAAGGAGACAAGTTTTCCATAGGTGGAGAGCTGATAAGGTTAAAGTATTGTTGGAAATAACATATATTACATCATAACAGAGTAAAATATCAATATTATTGCCTTTGGAATAAGGGCAATGTAAAACAAATATGAGATCCCTTTGAATCTGCCATTAACTCCGCATGAACATGTACAAACTTAGCAAGTCAAGTCACATTTGACCCTACAACTATCGGAGGATCTTAAGTTGCAATATGTTATTTTACTTATGTGATTGCCCAAGGGGGATTGGTGAGTTTGGGGTGTGCTGACCCCACTGACCTTCTTCTGCAGGCTTGTCTATTATTCCACAGGATTTGCCATAATGAGTTGTTTATTATCAACGTGGGACGAATCAGTAGCCAGGCTTTTAGAAGAAATAAGGGTGTGTTGTTTATCCACAGCATATGACGACCTTGCAACACGTCAAGTAATAAGAGAGAATCTGTGGAACAGGCCTGGTTGGGATACCTGTGTCGCTAACACTGGTATGTCAATACCTTTAAAAAGCCCACCACCTCAGTCAGACTGCCTGTAATTTTTGATGCAGTTCATTTGTTACAAGGTGTATTGGCATAGTTTATTAACTGTTTGCAGATCCTTCTTAGGGTTCGCTTCTTGCAACTCACCATCAATTTTAGGGTTTCCTTTCCTGCCAGCTATAAGATTTTTTCGAACTGTTGACATTTCAACTATCAGCTATTACAGTACAAGATCATTATTCGGTGTAAATTTTCCCCATCCAGGAATGGTCCTCATTTTAAAAGTCTCTTTTTATATCAAAACATTTCACCTGCAGTTAGTTTTTGACTCATTTTAAATCTACATGCACACATACAAATTTGGCACATTTTTTATTACTTTGTGTTGATATAAATTTCTCATTTTCTCTCTTCAATTAGTTCCACTCATTCGTCGAATGGAATCAAGGGTAATGATCCCATTACCTTTTGGATCTCTACAGTAATCAAAGCAAAGGTTTTCATTAGCTGAAGGGATGTCAAATTGTATTTGTAGACATTCCTTGCCAGGAGCAAAAAAGGATCTCCAGTCTAATGCTGCGTCACTTATTTTACATAAGTGAGGATGAGGATTACAGATTTGTAATTCAATTTTGTTCTCATCACCGCTATGATATTGAAAAGGAATTTAAAACTGGGTTAATCTGTTAATAGTGTAGGAAGTAAATGATTATTTTATTAAGTGCAATGGAATTTGCCATAATCAGATCCCATTATGGCAGGTTAAAAATGTAATGTTTGAATGTGACTGGGATCATGACCATGTGTTCACTTGTGGCAATATTCTGCGTAGAGCTCCATTGTAAATTCCACTGAGCCATTCCATCTGCAAAATGTAATGTTGAAAGGTTCAGTTGTGGGACTGTTTGAGTATAAAACTCAATTTGCTGGATTTATGTGAAACATTGATATCTCCCCAAATATCCCTGAAGCCATTGCTCAATTTTTTAAAACTTCTCAGTTCAGTGGCAGCATTGGCCATTCAATGAGAATTTCTAAATGAAACACACTTCAAAGCTTGTAAGGTTCACATGGAACCAAGAACAAATGCATTCCAACTCATTTAATTCTATTTTGACTGATGTCTAACAAAAAAAAAGATATTATTTGTCTTGCTTACTGAAGAAACCCTTCCATGAGGATTACTGTGTTGCTAGATCTCCAGGGCGGGGGAAGCGGGGGTACTCCCAGAAAAATTGGGTGGGATTGTGTGGCCCACTTCCCAAAACCCTTACCCTATTTATGACCAAAATCTGCAATTTCTCCTCCCCTATTTATGACTTGACCAAAAACTCGATACCCTATTTATGGCCATTGCAGCTGGCACAGTTGCCCTAAACATAATGTATGAAGGGCTTTTGTTGATGGTCTTATCGATAATGATGAAAAAGTAGCTTCTTCTATAGAAAACAGTGTGCAAAAATCTGACCAAAATGGCCAAAATCGATACCCTATTTATGACCAAGACGGCTGAAAAACCATACCCTTTGGGGCCACACATACCTACATAGCCCATAGAAGGGAGTACCCCCTCCCCCTGGGTTAGATTTGAACTTCACGATGTCTGACATGCCACACGCCTTAACTACTAAGGACATAATACTCTCACTTTTTACATTGAATCATGGTATTTGCTGTCAAGCAACATTGTACAATGTCCATATAACGTCCTTGTGGTTGCTTGTTTCAAGGTGCCCTGGCAGGTCCAACTCAGGTTTTGAAAATGCTGTAAAATAGAATTTCGTGGCCTTGCCTTGTATGAAAGGCACAGTCATGTAAATGGTTATATATGAAGTGGCAGCAAAAACTTGGCCAACAAAATTCTCGAAAAGGGAAAAGACACCTTAAAGTATTCTCTCCACATAAATGTTTTCTCCTTTTTAATTGTTATAAGCAATAAAGTGTACTTAGCTTTTTAACATATGCTGACTGAATCGTTTTCAGAGATCACTGTTTCTTTTATGTTTATTGTTTCAATAGTTCATTCCTCCGGAGTTACATGTATTCCACTGGAGTTTCGAAAACAAATATTCATTTCTGTTTTCGGCAGACAAAAATTTAACAAGCCTGGGTTTCTGCTTAAGTTATTTACATAACTGCGAAGTAGTACACCTCAGTAATCCATCATGGATTGACCAATTTATTCATGAATCATTTACCTTGAGTCAATGAGATAAGGATGGCAGAACTGGTTTATTGAATGCGATGCAGGTCGTGTAGGTAAATTTGGGGGAGTTTGGAGAAAAAAGTAAATCACACATGCATGTGTTGTTGCTTTAGGATTTTTAATATGAGAATAGGAAATGAGTTTTTAGAAGAGATGTGTGTGTTGTAGTAGAGTTAACTGACCCCCACCCTCCCCGCCTCCCCAAACCATCTTTAGGAGATTTGTGTGTATCGCGGTGGAGTTAACTGACCTCCCAACCATCCGGGTGGTGTGGGCTTATATAGAAATAACAAACGCTTGGCTGAGAACCAATCAAGAAGCACTGTTAAACTAGTCAGAATGGTTTTGACACCGCATGGATTTGGTGATTCAACATGGCGGACACAACTTGTCAAGGCTGGTTGAACTGGTTTTAAAGAGAGAATTTTAGCATAACGGAAAACATTCTTTTGATATATGAAGGAGATAATTTAAACGTAACAGAAAAAATCCGTTGCGCGGGCGTCTAATTGATTATTCAAAGAAATACCAAACAATCAGTTTAAAGTAAATAAGTGCAAAGTTTATTGAGTGACTCTTGAAAATACTCCATACAGAGTTATAATTGGATACCCGATATCTTTAAACAATGCTCAAGACATTTTTCAAATCGCTCCGACTAATTAAAAGTTACCGGTCCGGTGGCACAACTCTTGAATTGTGCGATTTTTGATACAAGCACTAAACTTTGTAGGGTAATGTGCATTCCAATACTGATCAATTCCTGATATAGAGCCAAGCTCAATTTTCTAATTCCAGCCAGTTAGCGATAATTAGAGTTTTCACTCATTAGACCCCCCGCGAAGTTCTTGTTCACGTTCTTTTTCGAGAATTCATTCACGTTTTACCTTACGTTTTCACGTTCTTAATGCACGTATGATTAAAATAGTTATTTTTCTTTCTTAGTGCAATTTCATACTGACGTCAGTTTTTCATGCGTCTGTCCTGTTATTGATCATGAATTACGTCATAACATTGTCAAGGTAACTGAGGATCCATTCGGCTATCGTCTCGTGCATCCACAGCTGCTGTGACAATTTTATGACGGAATTCATTGTCAATAAGAGGACAGACGCATGAAAAACTGACGTTAATTTGTTTTTTACGCTAACAAATTGTCAAATTTTCCGCTCTTGTCTTATCTCGCCCGTTGACGCATCGCATAAATTATAAATTCATGTTTCTGCCCGCTTATTGACAATGAAAATTAGCAATGAGCGAGCGAGAATTTCTGCAGTTATCGTAAAAAGTACTATTGAGGTTAGAATATTGGGAAATATACTTCAGGAAAGCGAAATGCTACAATCCACGACATAGGTAAGTCCCTGGCACGCCTGGATAGCACGAAAATGCGTTGTTTTGAAAATAATAGCTAATGACATCACTAGAATAGAGAACCCCCTCTCCCTCATCCCTCCCCACCGCCCGACAATGTTGGAAACGAGCAATGACGACTTCATCACGCTAAACAACACTGAATTGGCTGGAGGGGGGACGAACTGATAAATTTCCCTGAGAGATAATGCAAAAGTGCGTAAGCGTGCCAACACTTGTCGGGGATTGTAGTAGTAGTAGCAGCAGCAGCAGCAGCAGCAGTAGCAGCAGCAGTAGCAGCAGCAGTAGCAGCAGCAGTAGCAGCAGCAACAATAGCAGTAGCAGTAGTAGTAGTAGTAGTAGCAGCAGCAGCAGTAGTAGCAGCAGCAATAGTAGTAGCAGTAGCAGTAGCAGTAGCAGTAGCAGTAGCAGTAGCAGTAGCAGTAGCAGTAGCAGTAGCAGTAGCAGTAGCAGTAGCAGTAGCAACAGCAACAGCAGAAGCTGTGAAAAAGCTGTTTAAAAACGTCTGTACCCGTTCGATATCTGAAGGTCTTATCCTGTCCATTTGACGCCGATGAACCAGCTTTTTCACTACAAGAGTACACAGCGGGAAGGTTAACAAAGATTGTCAGAGATAGCTATAAGGTCGAATTCGATCAACCAAACAAAGGTAACTTTGTTCAAGGAATCGTCACTATATAAGCTCCATTGTCGGTGCTTTTCCATCTCCACTAGAGTCGCTGGCCTTTGAAGACGTGTTGTGCAAGTACCGCCTTGTGCATATACAAAGTTAACGCTCCATATGCCTTGCAAACTTATTTACATTTACATAACATTTACAAGCGAAGACGTACGGAGACTCTGGTCTCTGGGGCTTTTATTCCTTGGACTTCTCCGTCTTACTTCTACTTCTGGTTCTACTACTAGAGCACTATTCCTCAAGAACTACTACTTGACTAACAAATGCACACGTACTTAATAGCCTTTCGGTAGCTATGTGGGCCACATGGGACGAGGATTAATTAAGAAATAGAAAACATGTACCGTGTTTCTATCGAGTTTAGAATAAATCTACTAGCGTTCTATCACAAATGCCGTTCTCTGATTGGTTACGCTACTCACTATATATTCTTTGATAGATTGTGAGTGGCGTAGCAGTGTGCCCTTGCCAACAAAATGACGGCCGCTTCTTTCCGTTTCCGAAGTGTCTGTGAAGAGGTTTTAGATTAAGTTTTGAACGACCAGTAAATTTATACCAAAACAATTAGATTATTCGCTCTCGATTTTTATGCATGATAGTTGACCCGGCTGCGCCCTCGTCAACTATCACGTGTTATTAGACTAACAGTTCACCACTAAATTTTCTCAGATTCTTATTGGTCTAAATTGATCACGTGACGCGATAATGTTCATCCGCGGAGAGACACTATATAAACAATGGAGTGTTTCTGTCGAGGAACTATCGGCTGATAGTTGCCCCGCGGAAATTTGATGTTCTTAAAACAAATATTTGCCCGAGAAGAGAAGCTTCGAGGGCAAATATGCTAGTTTTAGGAACATCAAATTTCCGAGGGGCAACTATCAGAGCGATAGTTCCGAGACGTAAACACTCTATTACCTTTACTGTTCACCACTAAATTTTTTTCCGCGCGCCAGTTCAAAATTCATATCGAATAATTTTCAACTTTTTTAGATGAAAGCCGTGAAAGCCAAATGTAAAATTTGAAAAAGAAAACAAAAACCCTCTTAATACAAATTCAATTGTTTATTTTCTATAAGCCCTCTTGTTTACAGAAATATTTTCACGGACGATTCTTATTGGTTTAAATTGATCACGTGACGCGATAGTGTTCATCCGCGGAGAGACACTATCAGCTC